GAACAAACGAACAAAGATGCCAATCGAGTTTGACTTGGGAGATATGCTAGCAGCACTCGAGGTGAGCACGTTGTTTCATCATTCTCTGAATGTCAAGTGTTTTTTAAAAAAATCCTGCAATGTAATCTATTGGTTTATAATATTATTATTTAAATTTGATGATGAGCAAAATTAACCCTTATCTGGTCGAATCAATGTAAAAGTACACAGGGCTGTCAGAATAAGGATTAAAATTAATTGCAGTACATAGTCCCTGTGAGTTAACAAGTTTAAAAAGGTATTTGAAGTTTGAACTCAGTCATGGCATGTTAGAGATGTGTTTCCGGGGATAGCATTCATTAAAACAAAATGGCCTTCAGTCAGCCATTTTGAATCCAATCCAATAATAATCAATGTATGCACCCAACGATCAATGATTTTGAAAAATATTTTTGTTCTCATAACTTTAGAACTTGCATTGCTGCGAGGCTTTTATCTCATTTAATTGTTGACAGAGACACTGATATACATCACTAACTATGTAATATTTGTCTTTTTTTAATGCAGAAAAAACAACAGCAAGAAATGAAACAGAAACAAAAGCTAGTGATATCAGCTGGCGTGTCCCCTGTGATGACTCGTGTTAAGGACACCTTGCCATCCGGTGCTGGTGCCAGGCCTAAGAACAAAGATGTAAATATTGTGTTTTTTTATTTCAGTCGTGTAAAAAAAAAAAAAGTACTCTGCAACTAATGTAGTAGCTGTCTGATCTGTCCCACGATTGATATACACAAGGTCAAATCCTCCCTGTTGACAGCCACAGGAAAGATACCCCTCCCCCCCCTTTCCCTCAAAAAAATGAGTGTGCATGGTGATTGCATGCTCTGTCACGTAGTACTGTAGAATACTTTATTTTAGCTGGAATTAATTTTCGCTGAAAAGACATTTTGGGTGTTTTGGGGGAAACAGGTGCATGTGTTGGGCTGTGACCAGGCTACTTTAATACCTGGATAATCTACGAAAGTGCCATTATGATAATTGCATGGTGATTGCATGCCCTGTCACGTAGTACTGTAGAATACTTTATTTTAGCTGGAATTAATTTTCGCTGAAAAGACATTTTGGGTGTTTTGGGGGAAACAGGTGCATGTGTTGGGCTGTGACCAGGCTACTTTAATACCTGGATAATCTACGAAAATGCCATTATGATAATTGCATGGTGATTGCATGCCCTGTCACGTAGTACTGTAGAATACTTTATTTTAGCTGGAATTAATTTTCGCTGAAAAGACATTTTGGGTGTTTTGGGGGAAACAGGTGCATGTGTTGTGTTGGGCTGTGACCAGGCTACTCTAATACCTGGATAATCTACGAAAATGCCATTATGATAATTGCATGGTGATTGCATGCCCTGTCACGTAGTACTGTAGAATATTTTATTTTAGCTGGAATTATTTTTCCCTGAAAAGACATTTTGGGTGTTTTGGGGGAAACAGGTGCATGTGTTGGGCTGTGACCAGGCTACTTTAATACCTGGATAATCTACGAAAATGCCATTATGATAATTGCATGGTGATTGCATGCCCTGTCACGTAGTACTGTAGAATACTTTATTTTAGCTGGAATTAATTTTCGCTGAAAAGACATTTTGGGTGTTTTTGGGGGAAACAGGTGCATGTGTTGGGCTGTGACCAGGCTACTTTAATACCAGGATAATCTACAAAAATGCCATTATGATAATTGCATGGTGATTGCATGCTCTGTCACGTAGTACTGTAGAATACTTTATTTTAGCTGGAATTAATTTTCGCTGAAAAGACATTTTGGGTGTTTTGGGGGAAATAGGTGCATGTGTTGGGCTGTGACCAGGCTACTTTAATACCTGGATAATCTACGAAAATGCCATTATGATAATTGCATGGTGATTGCATGCCCTGTCACATAGTACTGTAGAATACTTTATTTTAGCTGGAATTTATTTTCGCTGAAAGACATTTTGGGTGTTTTGTATGGAATTTATTTTTCACTGATTTTTGACAAGTTAAATGTAAAATATAGGAAAAAAGATAAATTCGCTGGATTTTATTTTCACTGAATCAGTCCTTCAGCAAAAATAGTGAAAATTAATTCCAAGTGAAAGTAAAGTATTTTACAGTACCTGAATTTGCATGTAGTTGCATTTTCTTTGGCAAGTTGAACTTTTGAGTGACAACTGTGAAATTCAATGTCAACTGTGTCACCTCGCAAGCTGAAAAATATATTTGAAAACAAATTTAATTGAAACAAAACTGTTTTATTGTGTAGACGCCAATCACAAACCCACTAGACAGCAGTGCACCGGTGAAGCGTGGAAAAGAACGAGAACAACCAGCGAAGAAAAAACCTAGCGCATTGAAGAGAGTTATATTGCGCGAACGTGAAGAGAAAAAGAGACTACGGATACTCGGGGAATGCACGTTATCGGATGACGATACAAATAAAGTGATGTTCCAAGAGGTAGATGAAGAAATAGAACAGGGTGTACAGTTATCGCAGGAAAGCAGTGAATGGACGACCGGACAGGTGGGCCCTGACGAGATCACAGTGCCTTGTGGTGAGTATAAACAATGAAACTAAAGAATACAGTAGGGTCGAACTTCACGGAGGCACGGCCGGCAATATACAATATTCGCAAATGACCGATGAGATCTCGTTAAGAGTGAGAGAGCAACTTGACTTTATTTTTTTTCTCCACATAATGTTCCGCCATCTTGTCCACTGTTCTTTTTACTTTATGTAACTATGGTATTTGGAGCATTGGATGCGATGCGCAAGAAAAAACGAACATTATTTAAAGCGAGAGGGTCGTCACCTGTGCACAGAATCGAGTCCCAAGCGTGGATAACAACACCGCTAGGAACGCAAAGGCTCATGGGTAGACGCTTGTTTGTAACAATGACACGCTATGGCCACCTGACGCATGCACAGGTGACGACTCCCTCGCTTTAAGTTTTAAAATCATTCTTTAAGCATCAACTGAACGTGTTGAATCAGTCTCTGCCACAGACTAATTTGAATATTCGAATATTTTTATATTCCTGCTCTCTTGAAATCAACGTAGAATTTTTGC